CCTCAGAGAACCTAACTTTCCAGTGTAGAAAATCCAGACAAAACCTAACCAGGCCCTGTGATTCATCTCTGAATTTTTGCTTGTGCCCTGGTCTTTCTAAACTCTGTTCTTCAATATTGCCCTGACTGTTCCCCAGCACTTGGTTCCGGGCCACATGTGCACCCTAATCACAGACTAGCACAAGTGCTCATTATCAATTCATGAAAGATGTGCCTGGTCTTCCCAGTTAGTGAGTCCCTCGAGAGTTCTCTAAGCTGCCTCTCTAGTCTCCTTCGCAGCCTGCCTCCCAGCTCTCCTCCGTGCCAGATTTTAGCAGGTATCTTATTGCAAGACACGGCACACACAGGGTTGCTTTCTACCAACCCTGTAACATGGCTTAACAGATGCGACCCACAGACTATGATTTCAGATCCCAGCTGCACCTAACTTGCAGGACCCAGGGAGCAAGGGCAAGCAGGATTCCCGCCCCGAAAGGAATTTGGAAAGAAGAACACAATCTACCCTCTGAGAGTCAAACCACAAAACAAGTAAGTCAAGGAAGAGAAAAGTGAGGTCATCTTAAAGCAGTGATTCTCAATGGGGTGAAGGATTTTTGTTCCCCTTCCCCCACTGTCCACAGGGACATTTGGCAATGTCTAGTGACATTAGAGGAACAGAACGTCTTAGCTGTAAGTTGATACAACTGGAAAGACAGGGCTGGTCAGCATGGAAGCTCTGGCAGGGCTAAGGCAGGTCTGATCTGAGAGAAAGGCAAGGAGAATCTGAGCTGTGCTATGAGGACTCATATCTCACACAGGCACAGGCTAAAGTCAGTATGTCTTAGAAAAAGACTGTAAAAATTTATCAGTCAGTCAGGGGAATAGGAGCATCAATATTCAATAATATTAAGTAATTGTTCTTTCTTTTTTTTGTTTGTTTGAGACAGAGTCTCACTTTGTCGCCCTCAGTAGAGTGCTGTGATGTCATAGCTCACAGCAACCTCCACCTCTTGGGCTCAAGTGATTCTCTTCTCTCAGCCTCCCCAGTAGCTGGGACTACAGGCACCTCCCACAACACCCAGCTATTTTTAGAGACAGGGTCTCACTGTGGCTCAGGCTGGTCTCTAACCTGTGAGCTTAAGCAATCTACTCACCTCAGCCTCCCAGAATGCTAGGATTACAGGCATGAGCCACTGCCTGGCCTGTTAAGAAACTGTTTCTAATTTTCAGATACTGTATTCATTTCTATTGCTGAATACAAATGTTACCACAATCTTAATGAATGAACACAATACACATTTATTATTTCACAGCTTCTGTGGATCAGATGTCCAGGCACAAGTGGGTCCTCTGCCAGGGTATAATCAAGGGCTGGCTAGGACTGGGCCATCTGTGTCTTATAAGAATGCTCAACTGGAGGAAAGATCTGCTTCCAAATTTCCCTAGGTTATTGGTAGAATTCAGTCCCTCGGCTCAGCGCCTATAGCTCAACCGGCTAAGGCGCCAGCCACGTACACCTAAGGTGGCAGGTTCGAATCCCCAGCCCGGACCCGCCAAACAACAATGACAGCTGCAACCAAAAAATAGTGGGGCGTTGTGGCGGGCGCCTGTGGTCCCAGCTACTTGGGAGGCGGAGGCAGGAGACTCGCTTGAGCCCAGCAGTTGGAGGTTGCTGTGAGCTATAATGCCATGGCATTCTACCCAGGGGGATAGCTTGAGGCTCTGTCTCGGAAAAAAAAAAAAAGAATTCAGTCACTCACTCCTCTTGCAGGACTGAGAGCCTCATTTTCTTGCAGGCTATTGGCTATAGGCTACCCTCAGCTACTAGAGGCTGCCGTAGTTCCTCTGGGTTTCCCAACAGGGTACCTTAACTCCTCAAAGCCAGCAAGGGAGAGAGAGACTCCAGCAAGACTGTGCTACACTCTCATGTAAGGAAACCACACAATACTTATATGTAGTCACATATCTTACATCATCTTTGTGGTACTTTATTGGTTAAAAGCAAGTTACCCTCAAGTAGAGGTGATTATACAAGGGCACGAACACCTTAGGAGTCTGTCTACTACCGATGTGATACTGGTCACTTGTTTTGTAAGAATTCTTATATTTAAGAGATAAATACTGAAGTATTTGCTGAAGAGAATATTATGATGTCTGTCTGGTATTTGCTTCAAAATATTTCAGTGGGGAGGGGAGGTGGGCAGAGGTATAAATGGGTGGGCTCATGTTAACGATCGTTGGACTCAGATGACAGGCTCAGGAGGGCTCATTCCAACTATTCTCTACTTTCAAATACATTTGAAATTTTCATAATAAAACAAAAAAAATGAAAAGATCTAAAGATAACATGTATATCTGTTATCTACTGAGGCAAAACAAATTACCTCACAATTAAGTGACTTAAAACTAAGATGCGAACATTTATTATCTGAGTTTCTGTGAGCCAATAATCTGCAGTAGCATAGCTGGGTACCTGGCTCAGAGTCTCTAATGGAGCTACTGTCTAGGTGTTAAAGACTGCAGTCTGAAGCTTGACTAGAGATAGGGGATCTGCTGAACTCACGCATGTGGCTATTGGTCAGAGGCCTCAGTTCCTTGCTACATGGGTCTCTTCCCAAGGCTGCTCATGATGAGATGGCTATCTTCCCCAGGCCAACTGATCCAAGAAAGAGGTACAGAGAGAAAATGGCCAAAACAGAAATGCAGCCTTTTACAAGCTAATCTCAGAAGTGACATACCATCATTTCTGCATTTTCTACTGGCCTCACGGACCAGTAGAATGTAATGTGGGAGAATATTGAATAAGGGTCTGAGTACCAGAAGACAGGGATCATTGCAAGCCATTCTGCAGGCAGGCTACCATAGTGCATAAGGCAACAATTGAGTGTTGCCAAAATTATTCTTGAAAAATCCTATAAGTAAATTACAAAGACTAGTAGACAGATGTACTAGTTCACACGCCCAACATTGCTATATCTTTCTACTATACTAAAACACATCAGTGGAGTTTTTGTTTGTTTGTTTGTTTTGTTTTGTTTTGAGACAGGGTCTCTCTCTGTTGCCCAGGTTAGAGTGCAGTGGTGTCATTATAGCTCATTGTAACCTCAAAATCCTGAGCTCAAGGATCCTCCTGCTTCAGCCTCCCAAGTAGCTGGGACTACAGGCATGTGCCACCACAACTGGCTAATTTTTTTTTTTTGTAGAGACAGAGTCTTGCTCTTACCCAGGCAGGTCTCAAATTACTAGCCTCCAATGATCCTCCCTCCTTTGCCTCCCAATGTGCTAGGACTGCTGGTGCAAGGCATCACATCAGGCTCACTTCACTGTTTTGTTGAGTGCTAGATGAAATTGTTGACTTGAACTAGAGACCATGGTCTAAATAAATAAATTTAAACACTAAAACAGTTTAAATGGTTTAAATTTAAACACTAAAATGCTCAGGTCCTACCTGAGCACCTATAGTCACATTCGACTTAGTTAAATGTAGCACAATGGGATTCTAATGCACTGTTACAGTGGAAAGGCTTATTATGCCTTGCTGACATCCACCATGTAAATCCATTGTGCTGAGTCTCCTTAATTTGGTTCCACAGTCTCCATGTAGCTTTCTGACTACAATTTGGCTTCCCAGACAGATATGCAAATAGAGAGCAAATGGCTCTGATTTAATCTATTCCATAGTTATAGTTCTCATTATAAAATAACAGATCAGTACTGTGGCTTTATACATCAGTAGCTATGTGCTAGGTTAATGTAAGTCTGCCCCTGAGAGATAGATTCACTCCTGTTGCACTTACATAATAGGCTTCTGCGCCTGCATCCCTAAGGCCCTGGACTATGATAAATTTACTCAAATAATGCCACCCTAGGAGAAACCGTCTGAGTGGCCTAAAGCCTTCCCCAGGTATAGCAGCTATGTTAGCCATACACAGACTGTATCTCTGAGCTCTCCCACATTTCTCAGCTCCCTTGCTGTTAGATGGCGCTATGTGACAAATTCTGGCCAACAGGCTGTGAACTGAATAGACATCTATCACTTCTGAGCCAAAGCATAGTGAAGTTTCCACACACTCTTTCCTCCTACTGAAGCAACCACAGAGGCCACCTGTTGAGATGGCAGAATGAAAAATCAGCCTGGGGTTAGGTGTCGCGATGCCTGTAACTTAGCACTCTGGGAGGCTGAGGCAGGTGGATTGCTTGAGCTCAGGAGTTCAAGAACAGCTTGAACAAGAGTGAGACCCCCATCTCTACTAAAACCAGAAAAATTAGCCAGGCATTGTGGAGGGAGCCTATAGTCCCAGCTACTCAGGAGGCTGAGGCAAAAGGATCTCTTAAGCCCAAGAGTTTGAGGTTGTTGTGAACTGTGATGATCCATGGCACTCAACCCCAGATGACAGACTAAAACTTCGTCTCAAAAATAAAATAAAGTGATGGACAAGATCAAGAAACACTATTGTTCTTAGAAAATGCACAGTATTAAAAGTTAAAGGGGGTAAGTGAGGTGGCTCACACCTGTAATCCTAGCACTCTGGGAGGCCGAAACGGATGTTTTGCTTGAGCTCAGTAGTTCGAGCCCAGCCTGAGCATGAGTGAGACTCTGTCTCTACTAAAAATAGAAAAACTAGCCAGTTGTTGTGGCAGGTGCCTATAGTCCCAGCTACTTGGGAGGCTAAGGCAAGAGGATTACTCGAGCCCAGGAGTTTAAGGTTGCTGTTTGCTGTGACACCACAGCACTCTACCCAGAGTGAGACTCTATCTCAAAAAATAAACAAAAAAAGAACTTAGCACGTATGTGAGAGATCAAATTCAAGCCCTTTCAACTATGCATTTATGTAACATTATTCATATACTAATAGTTCAGTCCCATGCTTGGTGAAAACCCGCTAATGACTCTTGCCTTTGATACTATTACCCATGGATATGCCATGATCAATTGGGAGGCCACTGGATACTCATTAAGTTAAGGCACTGAAGCCTTTATTGCAAATCAGGAGAAACACAAGATCACTGCTACAAGAAATCCACTCTTACATGCTTTAATGAAAACAAAAATAGGCAACATTGTAGCAGTTAAGATAAAACATTGGAGATGCTACAGGAATTTCTAATTTATTAGCTTGCAGTTTTTGAGATGGCTGAAAATTGCCATCAATGACACCGCCTTATGCAAACACTCCCAATGATGTGAAAAAGGTCCCCATACCAAAGTCAACTATAGGTACTCAATATTAAAGATTTAACTGAATTTAAAGTTATATTGAAACTCATTTTATTAAGGCAAAAGAAGAATCCCTTTTAAGTTATCACTCTACAGTCACATATCAAGAAGAAAATTAAGAGATTGCATTACTTTTAGTACTTAATTTTATTATCACAGAACTAGCCTAATAAACACTTTTTTGTTTCAATTTTCTGGGTTTTGTCTTGACTTTTAGTTACTGTATGTGAGTCCAACAACAAAGGAAATAGTTTTTGAGATACATTAAAATTACTTCCAATCTTGCCTCACGCATAAGAACTGTTCTCACTTTGATGTTTTCGTGGCCCATGCTTGTCCACATCAGTTCACAGGCTCCCGAGACGAGGCACGACATTGCTAAGATTTTATGGCATATTGTATTTTTTTTCTTATTTTCATATCATGAAATATTTTTCTATATTTCCATGTAGTTACTGGGTCTGTTTAATGGCTACAAAATCTTCTATCAGGTACATCTAAGTTTAAATGGTTTAATCTCACTCCTCATAAATGTATTCCTCCTTCTCTGATTGGTAGTCATAATCAATTAGGTGATAACATTACTCTATTATCCTTTGTTACTGGTTACTTAAATTTCAAATACATTCACAGGTGGGGCCCAAACTCCATTAGTTCATTAGTCTGGAAGCATTATTAAATCTCCATTACCATGACTTCATTTTTCCCTTTTTTTTTTTTCCTATTTTTTGCCAACTGCAGATCTTGGGACATTTTTCTATTTTTAACATGCAAGTTCGCTAAAGGCAGCCCCTTACATTACTTTTTATGCAGAAAATGCTTCATCGTTAGTGACACCATCACAGCACAACCATCTCTAGGCTGTCAGCGTGCCCTCTACAACAACAGCAGCGCCTCCCCTAATGTCAACTCGGCCATCTGGACGTAGTGAAACCTCCAGCTCTCCTCCTCGGCGGGAACACTGAAAGGCTAGAGAAAGCATAGAACAGGTCACAAATGAAGAGCATTTTCACCCTTTCAATGATCATTACATGGCGAAAGACTTATTACAAACCCCAGAGTCCTCCCAGGTCAGTTTTTCCTTCATCTGTTTATGGCACTGCCCACTCTCACCCCCATTCTCCAGAAGATTGAGCAAGCCACAAACTCAATTTGATCTACACAACACACAACTCCACGTCTTCCCTTCCTGAGCCATTTCCTGGGCCATTTCCTTTACTACTTCCTATAATGCCCTATACACACACACCCCACCAGAGCTTCTTCCCCAGCTCTCTAGGAATAAGCAAGAATGTGTGAAAATAAATCTAAGATGACAAAGGGTGGTCTTGGCCCTGCTGAGAAGCCCTGTCTTCTCAACTCTAAAGAGGACAGAAGGAGTTTGTTCACTCAGAACATATTCGAGCAACCACATATGCCAGGCAGACCGAAGGGGCATGGCCTCAGGCTCAGGCGCACTGTACTCAGGAGAAAAATTAGACTTGCTAAGGAAAATGAATGGCCACTCTGCTTTCTCCAAATCAGACTCACAGAAGCCTAATCCTTCTTTAAGTAAGACTTCCATCCTTGGCCTGGTATGGTGGCTCACACCTATAATCCCAGCACCCTAGATAGCAGAGGTAGGATGAGCCCTTGAGCTCAGGAGTTAGAGACCAGCCTGAGCAAAGTGAGACACTGTCTCTACTAAAAATGGAAAAATTAGCGAGGCATGGTGGTGGGCACCTGTAGTCCCAGCTGCTGTGGGAGGCTAAGCCCAGAAGATAGCTTGAGCCCTAGAGTTTTGAGGTTGCTGTGAGCTAGACTGAAGGCAGGGCACTCTAATTCCAACAACAGAGCAAGACTCTGTCTCAAAAAAAAAAGCAATTTTTTTGATTCTGGCCTATGACTAACAATAGCAGTAAGGAACCATGGCAATAACCAATCACATTGTAAATAACCTTTGTGGGCCAAAGTTATACAGCTAGTTAATTTTATTCGACAAATACTTATTAGACAGTTACTGTATCACCAGTGCCTGTGTGTTGTAGGGGGCAGAGGTGGAAGATGTTTGGGTAGAAGATATTTAAGGCTTAAGGAATTTAAAAACTTTTCATTTTCACATGGATGATGCATAACGTTTTATTATACTTTCAAAGGAATAGTACGAGTACATACGAGAAGGGACACTAGCTTAAAGTTGGGCAAATAAAGACATTGGAAAAGAACTGTCTTACCACGCATTTCTTTCTTCCCCAGCTGCTGGGACCAGTAGCTGCCGAGTACAGTGTGTGCAGACCCTTCAGAGAAGTGACAGGTTACAAGACAATTCCAAAGAAAACAGGGGTAACTCTGTGGTAAATTCACAAGCAATCCCTTGACTAACCCTTTGATCACCTAAATCATGTTGGCCAAGCCATGGCAGAGGGTAGAATTATGAATGGAGATAGAAAAGAAAACAGAATTTATGAATAAGTTCCTTCAAATTATGTATCAAATATGTCTGACAGTTTCTTAAGCCTAAATTAAACAACAGGGTTTAATTCTTGTCTACCAGCTCACTGTCAGCCCTTGGTAGGAAAATCAAGGTCTTCACATAAATTGTTTTGTCTTTCCAAGGAAAGTATCTCCTTCCTCCCAGGGTACATATGCAAGGACAAGTGGGGACTCGGACAAAATTTTCCATTGAGCAAACACTCCTGGGCTTTTGCTACCAAAAGAACTTTCTTTTTAGTGAGATATTTTTTTTCACATGATTTTACCCTAGAGGTTAAGATTGCAGATTAGATATAAAAGTAAAGACCCAAAATGTAAAGTAATAACTTACAGAAAAGTCTTTGTGGGAAAAAAGGATGGGGAAGAAAAGATTCCCCCTGTTCAGAAAAACTTATTAAGGGCTATCGGATGTCCAAGTAGGGTGACCACCCCCTGGCTTTAGCACTGAAAGTGCCACATCCAGAGAAACCTCTCAGTCCTAAGCAACCCCAGATGGTTGGTTATCAAAGTCCTAACACCTCCACACTCCAGAAAAGTATTATTATTAAAGGACAAAAAAAAAAGAAAACTTGCATTCTGTGCTAATTAAAAACTTTGTGAGGCAGCTGTGCATATGCAAATTTGCTCACAACTCTTCCATGGGGAAGTTGGACTGTTTGGATAGTGGTGGGCATTTTCCTGAGTCTTTAAAAAGTGCTTGTTTGCTGAGGTTTGAATTTCATGTGTTTTGTTCCTCAGAGAGTAACTAAGCCTTCCAGTCCCTGCCACCTGACCAGAACAGGAGCCTGGAGGCCTCTGCCTGGCCTCCTTTAGTCCTGGCCACGGCCCCTCCCACCAGCGTCCTCCAGCAGGCACTCCTGTGCTTTGCTGCTCAGCCCATTGCTCCCAAAGGGCGTGAGAGCACGAGGCGTAACATCTCTGCCCATCTCGGATTCCATCCTTCTCCTTCAGCTCTAGAGTACTGCCTCACAAAGCCAGTTTTGTTATTGTTAAAATAGCTAATAGCTACTGGGTGCCAGGCACTGTGCTAAGCACTTAACATGCACTGTGCTTCCATAACCCTATGAGGTATCATCATACCTATTTTCCACAGAAGAGAACTGAGACTCTAAAAAGTTAAGTCACTTGTCCAAGGTCAAGAGCTAGGAAGCTGGGGATGCACACCTAGGCTGTCTGATACTAAAGTTTAACCCGACTGTACTGCCTCCTTTATTTTGTGTTTTTCACAGGAGGCTACAATGAAAAGATGGAGGGAGAGAGGAAGAGACAGAGAAACAAAGGCAGCTCAAAACCCAAGCAACCTAGAAGGTCACATGAAGGGCACTTGAATGGCATCTGTTATTCCCCTCTTCAACTGTTTAACCCTCTCAGGGCTCCAGTAAGAAGTACCTGTTACAGGGTCTTCAGCCACACCAAACCATGGTGAAAAATATCTGGAGTAAAAGTCAAATGCCTGGGTCTGCCCCCCAGGCTCTCCTTTCAGGGTGAGGATGAGTCCTTTCACCTTCCCTGTGTTCTCAACTTGCAGCAGGTTCCCTGTGTTCACTTTCAGGTTCTCCAGAAATGACCTTATTCATAAACAGGATGGATTAGGACAAATCCACAGACCACCCACTGCACACACTATAAAACAGACCAGGGTGCGCTTGCCCCAAAAGCTCAGCAGGAGGGGCGGGAAGAACGAGTAGTGATACCTTCCCACTGAGGAAACAAACTCTCTGGCTGCACCAGTCCTGTGACTGGACACAGCACAACCAGACCAGGCCAGAGCTATAAATGAGGATGTTCAGCCTTCTCCGAAATGCTGACACAGTCAAAATACTTACCTGTCATAAGTATCACTGAGCCGGACAAGGAGCTTTCGGGTATCTGGAGAATAGCGGATGTCCTGGACCAGGGTATCGCCTATGGCAGTCTGTGGGGACAGACCAAAAACTCAGGAGCATGCCCTCAGTCAACTCCTTGATCCTCTGAAAGAGGTAACAACCTCTCATCGAGCATCCACGGTGAGCGAGGCACACCCATCATCTCCAACCCCTAAAATTGTTAGTTCAAATTCAAGGCACAAGGTATTGACAAAGGATGCCAGTTTCCTGGCTGCCAAAGATGCCTCTGTGAACCTTGAAATAGGCATTGCTCACAAGTGCCCACTATATGCTCAGTACTCACAGATCCTCCAAATGGGTATTTTCCCCAGAAAGAAAGAGAAAGAGGCCCAGGTTCATGAGCACACATACACAGAAATGTTACCTGCACACACACATGGACACACATAAGGTCTGACAAGTAAGTTCACAAATTCATCCTAGGAAAAGTGCTGCATGTCTCATCGCTGCATATCACTACAGTTACCTTCAAAGGACTCCCCTGGGGGAGCTGTACACTGACACTGGCACCTAGTCCACTCCTCAAAGTAATTTTGGAACTCTTTTTCTGGAATGACCATCAAAGCTGTCGACATATAAGGTCTGACAATGAAGTTTGAGACCTTGCCCCCGTGCACTTATGTTGGCTGCACCGTACAAAGAAGGTCTCAGTACTGTGGTATGTCAGTATCTTTCAGCTGTGCTCATGTCAATGTGGGGCAGTGTCTTGCTGAGTGGCGGGCGTGCATCATTGTTGTGTGGTTTTGTGTGCCTTACAATGACAGCTCTGATGGTTATTCCTCACAGGATAACATTGAGAATTAAGTGGGATAAGGCAAGTGAAATCTTTACCACGTGGCACTACCCAGAGCAGATGCTCTAAAATGTTATCACGAGGAGGCCAGGCTATGCATCTCATCTTCTCTGCCAAGGTATCCATGTTTTCCTGGCCTCCTCTATCAAAATGCAGCCCTCCCACCTCAGTCTCATCCTTCACTGCAGAAACTGGGGACACTGACAGATGCTAGGCAGCTTCCATTCTTTCCCTCAACCATGAGTTGTATGAATTTTATGAAATAACCCTTTTCTGCCATAAATTCCCAGTTCTCAAGCTCCAACTTGTATGGCCGTGCTCCAGGCCCCTTCCACTCCCTCTACCTAGAGGAGGACAAAAATTCAACATCCCTTCATTTCCCAAAGGCTGGTCTCCTCCCAGAAACATTTCCTGGCAGACTCCTCTCCCTCCTCCTCACCACCCCCCTCCAGTTCTTTTGCTCTCATCTGCCAGACAACCGTCTCTCTTTCCCCCACCCTACCATGGAGACTAGTATTAACAAGTAAGAGCCACGGAAAACTGTTCAACCTTCTCACCAAATAGACTGAACATTAAAATTCAAACTTGAAATATCCTAACATTTATAGCGGTAAAAGGCCTATCTCTGGGGATCAAATGGTCCCGAATCTTTTGTGTCCAAACACAACCAATTCATAGGTTCAAGTCTAGATTTGGTTCTTTTCACCAACCTTTATCAAGTCCTCTACTTCATGAAAGTCCTAGATGGGGTTAAAAAAAAAAAGACAAAAATCATTGTAAAACAGGTGAGCTGTTGGCTGTACACAATTTATGGCAATAATTGGAAAGAGCTGACCTGGGGGTAGGTTGGATAAAGAGGAAAGTCCAGGATGATACCATCCTCTGCTCTTCTGGCCTTTAGTTCCCCGCTCAGAGTGACAAACGTCAGAGTGCTGTTCACATTTTCTGGACAAAAAAAAAAAAAAGAATTAAGAAATAGAAAATTAACTTAATTATATACTTGTATTTCTATCAGCTTTTTATTGCCTTAGATTTTTCTGGCAATGCCCCCTTTTACCTGGGGCCCAGGTTTGGGCTGTTGGGTTTACAATGGAGAAAACCCTCACTGGATTCTAACTTGAGAACAGAGAACAGAACTGATTGGACTTGGCATTACACTGCAAGGCTTCAAACCCAGCTCCTGACTGCTTACTGACTGCACCCTTGAGTGACTGAGAAGATGAGATACATAGCCTGGCCTCCTTAAACTTCAGTTTCCTCATCTATAAAATGAAGCTGATAATAATTAAACCTACCTCATAGGGCTGTTATAACATCTTCTAATGCAGATTTTTAAATATCTACTAACATTAACTATACAGTCATAAACTCTTCTAGTCTGAGATTAGGGATGACAAATAAAACATGTAAGTTGTGGGTTGTGCTCCCACTTAATGGGCACAATGTTAGGGTGTATGGCACACCTCTTGGGGGCAGGACACAATTATAAGAGGGACTCTACCTAACAAATGCAAACATTGTAACCTAATTCTTTGTACCCTCAAATTAACCTGAAACAATAAAATAAAATGTAAGTTGTAAACATCAGTCTTCTATGAAACGAATCAGGTTTATTTTATATAAACCAAGCTATACTATACATAAAAGTTTGATTTAAAGAATGCACCACAAATGCTGATAGCACTTCATGCTATTGATGCAACTTGGGCCACTTATCAGTGTGTATAATATTTTTAGTAAAAACAAAGATTTGTGGCATAATTCTTTCCTGTCCTGCGATAGATAGTTCTGTAAAACTTAAATCATATCTCAAAGGTGAAGAAATTAACTTTCATTGAGTGTAAAATTAACATTCTCAAAACTTAGCTTTCTTCTTTGAGACAGAGTTTCACTTTGTCTCCCTTGGTAGAGTGCTGTGGCATCATAGCTCACAGCAACCTCAAACTCTTGGGCTCAACCTATCCTCTTGCCTCAGCCTCCTGAGTAGCTAGGACTACAGGCACCTGCCACGATGCCTGGCTATTTTTAGAGACAGGGGTCTGGCTCTGGCTCAGGTTGGTCTCAAACTCCTAAACTCAGGCAATCCACTCACCTCGTTCTGCCAGAGTGCTAAGATTACAGGCCTCGTGAGCCACTGCGCCTGACTAGTTTTACTCATTATAATTGGCGTAGGATATTATTTACAAAGCATTTTTTCATACCTTATCTCATCAAACCTTAAAATAGCCCTATGGCGGGGGGTGGGGGACGTCCAGGGATTCTTATTCCAAACTTCAGCACCATACCAACCCATGTGGGGCCGAGTTTTCACAGGTACTCAATCCAACTTCAGTAAAATCTGTTTTTCAAGACTGAGTTTCTGAACAACATGTTTGCTTGCTTTTGCTCTTGTGTCCTATCCACAAAAACCAGAAGCATCCTTTTGAGACACATATTGGATGACAGTATAGCAGCACCTTGGCCTAACTCTCAACTTCCTCTCCTGCCAATCAGGCCCTCTCTCAGGAAACCCCGGTCCCATAGGACACACCCAGGGGCTTTGCCTTTGCTGCACCTCTGCCCTGAATGCTCCTTACACGCCAGCTCTTTGGCCAGTCTTCATCTTATTCTTCAGCCCAAAGATTCCCTTTTCTAGTGGATGCTGTTATGCAGATTCTACACCCACCTCCCACCTCAGGGCTGGCCAAGGTGAGGCAGTCAGCCCCGTGGGCTGCAAAATGAAAGTGGGTACTTGCTCTCAGATGCAACCTGCGGCCTCACCCGCTTCCCCTCCACCTGGCCCTGATCCTGCTGCTGGCGGCATGGATGACCCACAGCTCTCAGCTACATGCCTTTTTGAGAATTGCCCTTGGCTGAATGGAGCTGCCTTGCCCAAAGTCATAGTATCTTTTCCTGCCTTTGGGGACTGGTCCTCTGTCTCTATTTGGAACTACACTGAAAGCACATGTAGAGAGAATCAGATGGAGTCAGGCTAGGGCAGACATGGCACAGCTGGCCTGGTTGCTTTAGGTCCTGCCTGACCTTCACCCCCAGTAAGTCTCCCATTTTTACTGTTTTGTGAATTTACCTCCCACCCTAAAGATGCCTATCTTGAGTAGTTTAGGTGGATTGATTTAGGAGATTAACTTTTGAATTGGAATGTTGTAATAGGTCACTGAGGTGTGCTGATTATTATTCGGAATAGGAGTTGGTGCCATCTTTGAACTTTTATGTATAAGACCGTAATGTTTAAAATGGAAGAACAGAGCAGTGTTGGAGAGGCTACTCTCACTATCCTCCAGAATCACGGACCTAGTGATAAAGTTTGGTGGACTTGTCCCCATCGCTGCATATTGGCTGACAGTGACCGGCGGCCAGACCCTCAGGTAACAACACTACTTGAAGAAATTCCCAGCTTCAGAGCTCCCTGTGGACTTGGCCTAGGCCTTTCTTTGTTGCTACTAATTTGCAGTTCAGCTTCTCCCTCTGTTCAATCCCCCTTTCTTTACTCCCCTACTCCTGCCTCTAGTTCCTTACTGTGGGAGTTTGTCCTGCAGCTTTACCATTTCCCCCTAAAGTAACTCCCTTACTCCTGGGGGGGTCCCTTCCCCAACCCCCTCCATCATCCTGTCATGTCCTTGTTTACATTTCTGTTTGCTGCCTGTGCTTGTTTGTGGCGTCTTGTCTCCTCTATCCTGTGCCCACAAATCCCTGATCTTTGTCCATTAATCTAAATGCAGCTAAGATAGAAACTGGCGGGCAGCGCCTGTGGCTCAAGGAGTAGGGCGCCAACACCATGTACTAGAGGCAGTGGGCTCAAACCCGGCCCACGCCAAAAACTGCAAAAAAATGCTTAAAGCTGAGACTAAATATGTTTCCTTCCAAGGAAAAAGTGTTCAGCTAAAAGTAAAAGAGATAAAAGAAGAAGATGATGATGATGTTTATTAGGATAGTTCAGTATGAAATAAAGGAAAATAAATTTTAAAAAAAGAAGAAGAAACTGGCAAGATTAAGGGGCTGTAACTCCTCTTAAGGTAAATGTGTACAGTTGGGACCCAGGAAAATCTTTAAAAGTCAGAGCAAAGACGCTTTTGCCATAGATTTTATTTCAGTGATGGTGGGGAAATATTTGGAGCACAGTGTCCCTTTTGGTCCCCTGGTATCAAATCATGTGAGATGACTATTCTGCCCATGCCAGCTCTACCACTGTGTTGCTATTTAAAATAAAATGCCATTCCAACCGTGGCTTTCCAACAATGCCAGCGCATACTCAGGAAGGTCAAAGTGTTACTGAAGGTTGTTGTTTTTGTCTCTGCCTCATAAATTACATGAAATGAACTCTGCAATGTCTTTGGTCAATCAGAAAGAAAGAGAACTGTTCTTAAATATTTGCTGTTTTCTAAGTGACAGACACATTAAGGAAAATCATATTACTTATTTTGTGAAACAGCACAGCTGCAGAAGCCAGGGTGGCATGGCCACAGAGCGGGACTTCACTTGCCGGTGTAAACCACCTTAGTCCAAAGCAGGAACCTTCGGAAGAAAAAAAGCCAAAGAGAGACGAGATCATTTCCAGGCAAGCAGGTCACAAACTTCTCATTTGCTTCTTCTGTCTTAAATACTAATAGCCAAACATGCTGGGGAAGCATCCTGGTGGTTTCTGGTGCTAGGTCTGGAACAAAAACTCTCAGGTTCATCCTCACCCCCAAACCCACCTCAACTGCAACTCAGATCAGAATCTCCTCCTCTGTCTACTACGGCATGAAAGTAATAAATGGGTATTTCCTTTGGGTGCCATGGCTCATGCTTATAATCATAGCACTCTGGGAGGCCAAGGAGGGTGGATCACCTGAGCTCAGGCGTTCAAGACCAGCCTGAGTAAGAGTGAGACCCTATCTATTCTAAAAAATAGAAAAACCAGCCAGACGTTGTAGGGTGCACCTGTAGTATTAACTACTTGGGAGGCTAAGGCAAGAGGAGTATTTGAGCCCAAGAGTTTGCGGTTGCTATGAACTATGACACCATGGTACTCTACCCAGGGTAACAGTGAGACTCTGTCTCAAAAAATAATAAAATAATATTTCCCTTAAATATCATTCCTCACCTAAAAAAAATAAATTCTAGTGTCATACAAGAATGGTAAAAAATGGCTCGGCGCCTGTGGCTCAAGCGGCTAAGGCCCCAGCCACATACACCTAAGGTGG